CTCCACTCCTCCTCCACCACCTCCACATCCTCCACCTCCACTCCTCATCCTCACCACCACCCCCACCCTCCTCCACCTCACCCACACCCTCCATTCCTCATCCTCACACCACCCATCCTCCACTCCTCCTCACCCTCACCACCACCCTCCATTCCTCACATCCACCACACACCCTCCACTCCTCCCATCCTCACACACCACCTCCATTCCTCCTCACCCCTCACCACCACCCTCCCTCTCCTCACCCCCGACCACTCACCTCTCACCCCTCCTCCACTTCCTCCACCACCCTCCACTCCTCCTCACTCCTCCTCACCTACCAACTCCTCATCCCACAACCACCCTCCACTCCTTCCTCATCCCACCCACCACCCTCCATTCCTCCTCATCCTCACCCCACCCTCCATTCCTCACCCTCACCACCACCCTCCCACTCCTCCCACCCTCACCACCACCCTCCACTCCTCACTCATCGCTCACCACCCACCCTCCTTCCTCCTCATCCTCACGCACACCCTACCATCCTCCCTCCACCTCACCACCACCCTCCATCCTCCTCACCCTCACCACCACCCTCCACTCCTCCTCACCCTCACCACCACCCTCCATTCCTCCTCACCCCTCAACCACCACCACCACCCTCTACTCCCACCCTCACCACCACCTCCACTCACCCTCATCTCCATCCTCCCTCACCACCACCCTCCACTCCTCACCCTCACCACCACCCCTCCACCCTCACTCACCACCCTCCACTCCTCACCACCACCCTCCATCCTCACCCTCACCACCACCCTCCACCTCCTCATCCTCACCACCACCCTCCATTCCTCCTCACTCCCACCACCACCACCTCCTCCTCATCCTCACCACCACCCTCCATTCCTCCACCCTCACCACACCTCCACTCCTCCTCACCCTCACCACCACCCTCCACTCCTCACCCTCACCACCACCCTCCATTCCTCCTCACCCTCACCACCACCCCCCTCCTCACCCTCACCACCACCCTCCAACTCCTCATCCTCACCACCACCCTCCACTCCTCCTCACCCTCACCACCACCCTCCACTCCTCCTCATCCTCACCACCACCCTCCATTCCTCCTCACCCTCACCACCACCCTCCACTCCCCTCCTCATCCTCACCACACCACCACCCTCCATTCCTCCTCACCCTCACCACCCACCCTCCACTCCTCCTCATCCTCAACCACCACCCTCCACTCCTCCTCACCCCACCACCACCCTCCTCCTCCCTCACCCTCACCACACCCTCATTCCTCCTCACCCTCAACCACCACCCCCCACTCCTCCTCATCCTCACCACCACCCTCCATTCCTCTCACCCTCACCACCACCCTCCACTCCTCCTCATCCTCACCACCCACCCTCCACTCCTCCTCATCCTCACCCCACCTCCACTCTCCTCACCTCACCACCACCCTCCATTCCCCTCACCCTCACCACCACCCTCCATCACCTCCCTCTCATCCTCACCACCACCCTCCATTCCTCCTCACCCTCACCACCACCCTCCACTCCTCCTCATCCTCACCACCACCCTCCATTCCTCCTCACCCTCACCACCACCCTCCACTCCTCCTCACCCTCACCACCACCCTCCACTCCTCCTCACCCTCACCACACCACTCACCCTCACCACCACCCTCACTCCTCCTCATCCTCACCACCACCACCTCCATTCCTCCTCACCCCACCACCACATCCTCCACATCCTCCTCATCCTCACCACCACCCTCCATTCCTCCTCACCCTCACACCACCCTCCACTCCTCCTCACCTCACCACACCCTCCATTCCTCTCACCCTCACCACCACCCTCCACCCTCCTCACCCACCACCACCACTCCTCCCACCCCCACCACCCTCCATCCTCCTCATCCTCACACCACCAACTCCTCTCATCCTCACCACCACCCTCCATTCCTCCTCACCCTCACCACCACCTCTCCACTCCTCTCATCCTCACCACCACCCTCCATTCCTCCTCACCTCACCACCACCCTCCACTCCTCCTCATCCTCCACCACCACCCTCCCATCCTCCTCACCCTCACCACCACCTCCCTCCTCCTCATCCTCACCACCACCCTCCACCTCCTCATCCCACCACCACCCTCCATTCCTCCTCACCCTCACCACCCTCCATTCCTCCTCACCCTCACCACCACCCTCCACTCCTCCTCATCCTCACCACCCACCCTCCAATTCCTCCCTCACCCTCACCACCCCTCCACTCCTCCTCATTCCTCACCACCAACCCTCCACTCCTCCTCACCCTCACCACCACCCTCCATTCCTCCTCATCCTCACCACACCACCCTCCCATCCTCCTCACCCTCACCACCACCCTCCACTCCTCCTCATCCTCACCACCACCCTCCATTCCTCCTCACCCTCACCACCACCCTCCATTCCTCCTCACCCTCACCACCACCCTCCACTCCTCCTCATCCTCACCACCACCCTCCATTCCCCTCACCCTCACCACCACCCTCCACTCCTCCTCACCTCACCCCACCCTCCATTCCTCCTCACCCTCACCACACCCTCACTCCTCCCTCACCACCACCCTCCACTCCTCCTCATCCTCACCACCACCCTCCACCTCCCCTCACCCTCACCACCACCCTCCATTCCTCCTCACCCTCACCACCACCCTCCACTCCTCACCCTCACCACCACCCTCCACTCCTCCTCATCCTCACCACCACCCTCCACTCTCCTCACCCTCACCTCCTCCACTCCTCCTCACCCTCACCACCACCCTCCACTCCTCCCATCCTCACCACCACCCTCCACTTCCTCCTCACCCTCACCACCACCCTCCACTCCTCCTCCCTCACCCCACCCTCCACTCTCTCCTCATCCTCACACACCACCCTCCACTCCTCCTCACCCTCACACACCACCCTCCATTCTCCCTCATCCTCACCACCACCCTCCATTCCTCCTCACCCTCACCACCACCCTCCACTCCTCCTCACCCCTCACCACCACCCTCCATTCCTCCTCACCCTCACCACCACCTCCCCCTCATCCTCACCACCACCCTCCACTCCTCATCCTCACCACCACCCTCCACTCCTTCTCACCCTCACCACCACCCTCCATTCCTCCTCACCACCACCCTCATTCCTCACCCTCACCACCCACCTCCACTCCTCCTCTCCTCACCTTCCACCCCCTCACCACTCCATCTCCCTCGACCCACACCACTCTCCTCCTCCCCTCACCACCACCCTCCATTCCTCCTCACCCTCACCACCACCCTCCATTCCCTCCTCATCCCTCTCACTCACACCACCCTCCACTCATCCTCCTCACCCCTCACCACCACCCTCCATTCCTCCTCACCCTCACCACCACCCTCCATTCCTCCCTCACCCTCACCACCACCCCCCACTCCTCCTCACCACCACCCTCACCTCCTCAACCCTCACCACCACCCTCCATTCCTCATCCCTCACCACCACCCTCCACTCCTCATCCTCACCACCACCCTCCACTCCTCATCCTCACCACCACCCTCCATTCCTCCTCACCCTCACCACCTCCACTCCTCATCCTCACCACCACCCTCCACTCCTCATCCTCACCACCACCCTCCACTCCTCATCCTCACCACCACCCTCCACTCCTCATCCTCACCACCACCCTCCACTCCTCCTCACCCTCACTCCTCCACCATTCCTCCTCCTCACACCACTCTCCACTCCTCCTCATCCTCACCACCACCCTCCATTCCTCCTCATCCTCACCACCACCCTCCACTCCTCCTCATCCTCACCACCACCCTCCATTCCTTCACCCTCACCTCACCCTCCATCCTCATCCTCACCACCACCTCCATCCTCCTCTCCTCACCACACCTCCACTCCTCCTCACCCTCACCACACCACTCACTCCTCATCTCACCCACCCTCCACTCCTCCTCACCCTCACCACCACCCTCCCTCCTCACTCACCACCACCACTCCTCCTCACCCTCACCACCACCCTCACTCCTCATCCTCACTCACACCACCATCCTCCTCATCCTCAGCACCACCCTCCACTCCTCCTCCCCTCACCACACCACCCATCCACTCCTCCACCCTCACCACCACCCTCCACTCCTCCTCATCCTCACCACCACCCTCCACTCCTCATCCTCACCACCACCCTCCATTCCTCCTCACCCTCACCACCACCCTCCACTCCTCATCCTCACCACCACCCTCCATTCCTCCTCATCCTCACCACCACCCTCCACTCCTCCTCATCACCACCACCCTCTATTCCTCCTCATCACCACCACCCTTCATTTCTATTTATGTATATATGTATATATACACCACACATAAGTACACTCAAAGGATAAAACGTGCATTTCACAACATGGAGCAATATTGTGAAAATCTCTTATCCCCGTATATCAAGTAGCGCAATCATC